CTGCAGCATCATCATCATCTCTCTCTCTCTCTCTCTCTCTCTCTCTCTCTCTCTCTCACTCTCTCTCTCCTCAGAAACAGAGAGGGCAGGGAAGGAAGGAGAGGAAGTGAAACACACAATGACGCGCAAATCTGGCGTAATAAGGCGACGACTTAATTTTTCACCAGTTTTTGCAAAATCTTGAATAATTTTCTATAAAAAAATAATAGTTCCTCATTTCATGTACGAACAGTCGACGTTACTTTGAAGATCAGCTAATGTTCAAGTGTCTGTTCTCATTGGCATCTGGCTTCCCTGTTTCTGCAGCAGGAACATTTTGTGCTCTCGTGGCCCCCCCTTGTGCTAAAACTATTTTGGGTGCAGGATTTATAATCAGGTTTTTGGGCACAAGATCAGTTTTCTTTTCCAAATACAGGCCTTATTTTTTCAACTAAATACACAGAATTATTTCAGAAAAATATAGCTGCATGTTTACAATATGAAAAATAATCACACCCACAGTGAATACAATTCAAAAATTCAAAATCAGCTGAAGTCAAAGTGTTCTAACATGTGTCCCCCTTTAACCCAATCACAAACATTGTTTCTGATATGGATCTACTTGCTACAGCTATTTCAGAAAAAGACTAAAACTAAAATATTATGGGGCAAACATTTAGATTTGTTTTTAAAGTACACTCTTAAGTATTTTTTCATTTTAATAAATGTAAATACTCCTTAATAAATCCCGTCATTCCACCAGTATTCTCACACAGTTGTGATTAAATTGAGAAAATGGTTGGTATAAAACGAGCTGAACTTTGAGTGTCTGTTCTTGTGAACATCTGTCCCCCACTTTTACCAGGACAGGAACATTTTGTGCTTTCGCGGCCCTCCTTTGCACAACAACTATTTTGGGTACAGACTCCAGAGGGCCTGTGTGGAATCATGGTTGGTTTATGTAACTGGTCAAAGTGGGCGTAATCCTGAAAGGCTAACGTTATCTTAACTCAGCTCAGGTGGTGGCGGTGGTGGTGGTGGTGGTGTGTGTGTGTGTGTGTGGGGGGCGGCATATCTGGTTCTCCTCATGGGACCAGCTCTGACCTTTTCAGAAAAGATCATTTGCACTTTTCTACCTGTTCTCCACAGTGGACGCTACCTCGGCCTTTGAAATTCTCTTAGAATGACCGTCTGAGTACGATGACTTTTATGCAAGTAAATACTTTGTTTAATCTTAATATTTACTGTGAAATCACAGATTCACCACTTTCTAACAAGGCCCCCTTTATCAGCAGTAACAATGTCCATCCAATATCTAAAAGCATAACATTGGGGGTGTGGTCTCCCACAAGGGCACTTGCTTTTTCCTTTAAAAAAGTACAAACTCATGAAGAAAGCTTTTCTTGAAAACATGTAAGGGACTCCAAGGATAAAGGTTGGGAACGACTGACTTAAAAAATCAACAAAATATCAGTTAATCACTTTATTTCACTGTTCAGAGTAATAAATTAAATAATAAATTGTTACAAACCCCTTATCAATGATGCCCTAATGATTTGCATGTTTTAAGCGTTTTAAGTATACCATGTAAAAACCTTATTTTGCATTACAATCTTCATCTTTGTTGCTGTGAACAAAGTTATTATGTGTATTAAGACAAAATCAATCCTAGTTTTGAAAAATACTGACTTATAAGTATTTTTCCTCACAATAGCCTTCTTTATAATGAAACCATTGTCATTTCTACCACCACCCAAGCACACAATCAGACAGAGATTTATCATGAAATAGCTGTAGACTGCTCTGCTAATTACCATGAGTCGGAAATAAACCTGGAGTATTAAAGCCACTTGAATATTAATGGAGGTGTTAAAGCGGATTCACATTTATTTCCCACCTGGGTCAAGTACTGAAAAGGAAAACATTGTTGGATAGACCATTATTCAAATGAGAGTGCACAGACCTTAATAGAAATCTGCCTAACCATTAACTTGTGTTTTAACACAGCCCAGTAATTTTGTTCCAGCATTTATAGGCATGATTGACTGAGCTGTTCCCGTCTATTGTGCAGCATGTAAATGTGGCCCCGTCCATATTTCCCAAAAAGCCTCATTCAGTACCTTAAAAGGTTCCAAATAAAGATAAATTAGGGTTACCATGTTGCCTTAATCTGAACTAATGCCAGCTAAAACCGCAATAAGTACCAAAGAGTGGTTTCATCATTCTCTGTTTGCACCATTCAGAGTCACAGACGTATGGACGTTCAACATTATGGAAGAATTTATTTACCTTTGAACTCACAGATATTGTGATGAATTTTGTTCTTGGCATTGAATAGAGAGAGCAATTTTTTTTACATGCTTGTACCTTACTTTTAAAATATACCCGTGTCTTTCTGACCTTGGTGTGATTTATAAAATCAACACAACTTTTACAATTTGTTTTATCACGTATTGTTTAACACTTAAGTTCAATTACCAAACTAAACATTCACACACCATTTTATAAGCCTACATACCTTCACGTTATAAGATAATTTATGCTGAATAACTTGTGCGTTATTTCAACACAATTCACATTTTGACAAATACACTTTTTATTTACTAGCCAATAAAAGTAACAATTGCGTGTTAGCTTAAGCTACAGCTAGCAACAGCTAAAAAAACAGTATTACTTCAAAACGTACGTTTCAAGATGGTAGATGGATTTAATTACTTTAGTCAGGCTCCTTCGACATTTACCATCGACATTATGCTAGACTTAGCTAACCGTCTTCATAGCTACATTAAGCTATAAAACTTTTGAGCTACATCACCCCTGTATTCGAAAACGAGGGTAATGTTCATCTTCTGACTAACTTTCAGCAAGATAAGGAAACAATTGTTCTTCTGAAATAATTCACTATCCATAACCACGACCTGTAGTTCCCGGGTGAGGTTTGATGTTACTTTAATGTTTGTGCGCTAGCTGAGAATCAAGCTAAAGCCAGCTGCTTGGCTTAGCTTTAATGAGGGTGATGTAACGGCTAGACTGGCTCTGTGGTGAGGTAGGCAGCCTACCAGCACCTGTTGAGCTTACTATTTAACATAAATATTCTAATTGTAATGTTTCCATTAGCTAAGGTGTTATTAATTATTATGCAGCCACAGTCACATTGCTAAGCTGAGCTAATTTACTGCTAGCGGTACAGTGGTACAAAAACTCAAGCAGAAAGATGATTTACAATATTTGTAGGAAATTCAAATCCATCTGTCTGTCATGCATATTAATGATGTTTTCTAGGTTAAAACAGACTAAAACCCTTCAAACTAAACCACTTAAAACCATATCTATGAATTTAGCAGAAAACCATCATGCACTCTGCTATAAATCGAAGCTCATAATCAATAAACCAAGAAAAAAGATAAGTCTAAGGATTTCAAATGAAAAAAGTGTTGCTAATGAGTTTTATTTTGGTGTTTGTGTTGGATACCTGAAATCTTTAAAACATTATGCTAAGACGTCTGAAAATTATGTTTTGAATCGACTGCAATTTGGCACCTTATTTTCGCCCCAGACGCTTTGAAAACTGTCACACCCTGCAGAGATGATCAAAGAAGCAGGGATCCATCTTGACACAAACCCTCTCAGCTCGTCTCTAAAGGCAGCTCACACTGAAAGGGCAGATTAAAAAAATATTGCTGCCATGTTAGATACCGACCAGCACTCACACTCCGTAATTTTTAGCCTGATGATTGCACACAAGTGTTTTTGGCTGTTGCATCTGGCTCAAAGGATGATGGGAGTTGTTGTATGTATCCACCCGCATTTTCCCCGGCTGTCAAAAATTGCATTCTGAGAAAGCCGTACTCCTCTCATCAAGAGTCATAATTTACTTGTCAAAGCAGGAGTCCTCTCAGCGTGCGGGAGGCTCCCTGGGGTTATAATTGCGAGACGGTTTGGTTCTCTTGAAATGCCTCCAGTCAAGATGGAGCACAGGCCTAGTCAGCCTTTGTGTACTCTTCCTTTCAAAAGTAGCCATTTACACAGAAAATAGTAAAAACATGGTTAGGGAAAATATTTGACTGGCTTCACCATACTTTCACCATCAACTCCTTGTCATGGAGGACTTTGAACACTGATTACTTTGGTGCTCATGAGTGATCTGTACACTGACACAAGGTCCCCATCTTGTGGAGAGAGTGTGAAAGTCTGGTGAATGCACACAGTGCAGGTCAGCTAAGGTTTGCTTTAAAATCAGGCAATGAATCAGTAATGAAGAATTAAATCTATCATTCAACGAGCAGGATGTTAAATTCAGACGTGGAAAAATAACGTTTTCCAAGTAGGCCTACAATATAGCTTTTATTTTTTTTGTGCTTTATACTGCATCAGTTAAATATGACATTTACCGTACATAGTTTCTTTCCAGATTGAGATTTCAAACATAGGTGTACTAAGAGCAATGCAATACTGAATATTAAATCTGTGGTTCTCAATCTTTTGGGATTATGAAACCTTACAAAAAACTGTAATTTAGACCTTTACTTGCAGGAGTCGGTATCCCCTTTGAATGATTCCCTGTCCATGCTTAAGACCCAAAGAAGCAAAAAAAAGGAAAAAATATAAAAAACACATCAATGCAGATTTGAAAAGTAATTGTACTTCCTATTCATTTAGTCAGCGTCAAGTCCCTCAGCTTCATTTTGTGACCCTATGAACGTAGCAGGAGCCAGCTCAACTTTGACTTGTGTCTATCTGTTTGAACCCAGAATCAAAGCACTATCGGTACCAAAACTACCAAGGTCAGAATACTTTGTCAAATTAAAAAAGATTTGAAGGCCTAATGCAAATTTCCACCTTTGTTGGACAAAACATTTTTACGCTATTTGTATTTCCTGCTGCTTTAATCACCTTACAGCTGCTTGGATTTATCTTGTTACCCTCTGAATAGAACCCGAACTGTTGCACTACATTTCTTATTAACTGTACCTTGGTGTATCGGTGCTTTGACTTGCAGTGAATAAATGATCTTTACAGGATAAATGACTGGTCAAATTTATTTAAACATATTCACAGTATAAGTTTGAAAACATATTTTCTAAGACAATTTCATAGTCCAATCAATCCCAGCTCTACAACTGCTCCCAGCTGTTGGAGTCTAACATACCCTCCATCTTCTCCAATAGTCCCTCAATCACAGAGTTGTTCATCTTGTTGCTAATCACGTGATACCTGCCTCCGCATCGTTCTACAAGCTTCGATAGCTCTCCGTTTCTCAGGATGTGCTGCTCTGCGCTCTCTCCTAAGAATTCCCCACATGTGAACAGCACAAGCGTGTGTTGCCAAACTCCATCCCGAAGCACACTCATGTGCTCCTCTACCGCTCTCCTGTACTTTGGTGTGCAAGTCAAGAAGGCCGGCATGAGCAGGAGGACGACGTGAGGTCCTGGGTGACACCAAGAGACGCCGTCACAAATGTTTTTTCTTTGAACCGAGTGGGTTGAATCTGGTCCGTCTCGCCACTTCAGACCTAGTGGTTCTACAAGGGAAAGACGACGCCCAGCTTTCTGACCCTGCCATGTTCTGAAGGAAGATCCATCCAGTTTGGGCGCCTCTCCAAACAGGATGCTGACACCAGATGGGGAGCGAGAGGACCAGGACTCTCCTAAGACCATCACCTTCAAATCTGACCCCGTAAAGTCTTTGGTGTTTGAACTGCTTTGACCCTGACTCGCAGATACAGACTGTAAATCTTCAGTGATCAAAGTCCTCTCCAGGTTGTCTTTGCCTTGTTTCTTCCTCTGTCCGACTTCTCCTCCTCTTATCTCTTCCTTTTCCTCAGTTTTCTCCTTCAAGGTTTCAATGTGACAGTTGTTGCTCTTTGCAGATGACGCTGCGGTTTCTATCTTATCATCCTCCCTGTCTCTTGAATCCTGTCCCCTATCCGACTCCCTTCCTCTTCCCTTCCCCCTCTTCTCGCTGACCTGTTGATCTACTGAAAGTAAGTTGTCCTCTGAGCGATCAACTTTAGCTACTCTATTCTCTAAATGTCTTTCATTAATGCCGTCTTCTCGTTCTTTCAGATTCTCCTCCCATTTTCTCAGTTTCTCAAACATAGCCTTCATGTTTTTCTCCTTTTTCTGAAGTTCATCCTTCAGCGTAGCCAAGTCTTTCCCCATTTCATCCAACTGTTGGGTTGTAGAGTTTACATGCTCGTTTTGGATGTGCAACTTGGACTTCCAGTTGAGCAACTCCTGCTCCTCGTTTCTCAAGTAGTACTCCCTATCTTTGAGCTCTTTCCCTTGATCTTTCAGTCCTTTTACCTTCTTTTGAATATCCTGACCGTGAGAGCTGAGCTCCACCTGTTTGCCCTCCAGAGCGCTAAGCAAGCTGTCTAGCTCCCTTTCCTTTTTCTGGATATTTTTTGCCCTCTTGCTCTCGAGTTTTTCCTTTTCAGCTTGTTCTTTTTGTGTCTTTCTAAATTTGCTTCCCATTTACATAGTTCTTCTTCCTTATTTTCCAACTTTCCCTTTCTTTCAACAAGCTCTTCCTCTTTTGCATCAAGCTCAATTCCTCTTTTCCTCAGCACCTCCTTGTTTCCAATCAGAGCCTGCTCCCTTTCTTCTACATTTTTTCCCCTCAGATATAACTCCTCTTCGATCTCCTTGTCTTTCAATCTGGATTCACTTTGTTTTTCAATCATTTCCTTCAATTTCCCTTCTGCTTCATCCACCTGTGCCTGTAGTTTGTCATTTGCTTCCTTCAACACCCTGGCCTCTAAATTTCTCTCTTCAAGAATACTTTCAATTTCATCTTTTCTGTTATCTTCATGTTCCTTGAGATGTTTATTAACTTCTTCATTCTCCTTCTTTTGCTCCTCACACTTTAACTTGAGGTTATCAGTCTCTATTCTCATCCTTTCATTTTGTTCCTGCAGCTCGTCAACTTTCCTCCGACTTTCCTCCAATTCCTCAGCAACATCTGAAACTCTTTGCCGACTTTCTTCCTCCAAACGGCTCAGAGCTCGATCTCTCTCCTCTCTTGAGGATTCTGTGTCCTCGTCCCGTCTCGCGATCTCTTTTTCGTAATTCTGAATCATGCTCGTCATCTCTTTCTCCATCTTGCCGGTGAGCTGCTTCAGCTCGGACTTTGTTTGCTCAATGGTCAGCCTCAGCTGGACGATTTCTTTCTCATTCTCTTGATCTTTCTGTGCCAGGTGGTCAAGTTGGTTGTCTTTCTCTTTAAGTTTCTCACTCGTTTCGGTGTTCTTTATAATTTCCTCTTCTGTTTGACGCTGTTGCATCTCGATCATTGCGGCAGTGAGGTTTTCATTGCTTTCTTTCAGCTCTTGGATTTCTTTCAAGTACTTCCCACATGTCTTATCAAACTCTGCATCTCTCTCTCCAAGAAGTCGCTGAGCTTGTGCGATCTCGTTTGTTTTCACATCGATGATCTCCAGGAGTCTGTTCATCTCCTTTTCGTCTCTCTCGTCCTTCTTCTTCTGCTCTTCCCTCCATGCCATTTCCCTCGAGTCGGCCTGTTGTTCAAGTCTTTGGATCTCAGTTTCCTTTTCCTTAACTTTTCTGTCTGTGTCGTTCAGAAGCTGTTGTTTCATCTCTTCCATCTCTCGCTCTCTGTCTTGCAGTCTTTGTTCCGCCTCTCTCTTCTGATTGAGGATAATTTCTCCTCTCTCTTCTTCTTTTCTTTGAAGGATTTCATCAATATCCGTTATGTGTTGTTTCAATTTTTCTATAATTCTCTCTTTTTCTTCAAGTTTTTGCTCCATCTGGTTCTTGTGATTTAAACCATCTCTCTCCCTTTCCTCGTTGGTTTGACACAATTGTTGCTCCAGTTCCTTTAACTGCTCTTTTATCATTTTGATTTCTTCTTCTCTTCCCTGCAGTCTCTGCTCCATCTCTTTCTTGTTATTTAAAAAATGCGTTTCTTTCTCCTCCATTTGCTGCAGTTTCTTCTCGACTTCCTCAAGATTTGATTTCATCTCCTCTACCTCTCCTTCTTTCACCTCCAGTCTTTGCTCTATTTCTTTTCGGAGACTCCTTTCAAGCCTTTCTTTTTCCCTCTCACTGTCTTGCTTAATTTCTTTGATTTCCTCATCATGATGATGTTTTAACTCCTCAGTTTGCCTGTCTCTTTCGCGCATCTTCTCCAAAATGTGTTTTTCGAGATTTTCCTTCATCACTTCCTTCTCTTTTTCATTTTCTAGCACTTTTTCTTGAATCTGAGCAGCATGCTTGAGCTCTAAATCCATCATCTCTCTTTGCTTTTCTTGGATTTCTCCTGCAAACTCTGCTTTCAGCTCTTTCATCTCTCTTTGTCTCTCTTGCTCGATCTCCCCTATTTGATCACTGTACTCTTTTTTGACATTTTCTACAACTTTCGACTTTTCTCTCAATATTTGATCTATTTCTTCCCTGTGTTTAGCTTTCGTTACCTCCATTTGTCTTTCCATTTCATTCATTTGTCTTTCCATTTCATTCATTTGTCTTTCCATCTCCTCCTGATGCTGCAGCTTCAAAACGTCTACCTCGTTGTTCTTCTCTTGCACATTTTGTTCCAGGTCTTTTTTGTGATCTAGATGGATCCTTTCCCTCTCTTTTTCATGAACTTTTCCCTTTTCTTCTAACTGGACGAGGTACTTTTGTTCCAATTCTACTATCTCTCTCCTTTTGGCCTTCTTTTGTTCTTCTCTTTCCTTTGCAAAGCTCTTGTTAATCTCTGCAATCTCTCTTTGTTTCTCTTGTCTCATGTCCCTCATTTCTTTTTCATGTTGCTTTTGGGCTCTTTCCACATTTTCAGCGTTGTCTTTCACTTTCTTGTCGATGTCTCCTTTGTGTTCAGCTTTCACTTTCTCCATCTTTCTTTCCATTTCGCTGATTCTCCTTGCCATCTCTTCCTGAAGCTGCAGTTTCACGACCTGTATCTCTTTCTCTTTCTCACGCATGTTTCCATCCATCTCTTTCTCATGTTGTGATTTCATTTCTTTAGCTTTCCTCTGCATGTATTTTTCAAATTCTGCTTTACTATCTAGGGATTTTTGCTTTTCCTCCGAGGCTTGCTTTCTCAGTTGTTCCTTCTCTTTGTCTTTTTCAAGCAGCCTTATGTTCATCTCTGATTTCAGTTTGTCTTCTAACTCTGCCAGGTCTTTGAGTTTTTCTTCTTCTTTTCTCTCCAGAGTGTTATAATACTGTATTTTAATAGCTTCCATTTCTGTTTTTAGAGACTCGACCTCTCCCATCCACTCTGCTTTCTCTTCCTTCTGTTGCTCTACACTTTCCTCCAATTTCTTCACCTGCCTCTTCCACTCTTGTTTCTCTCCTTTGATGACATCCTCCCTCTGCTTTCTCTCATGTTCATTTTCAACACCAGCTCGTTCGAGGTTGAGAAGCTTTATTTGCTGCTCTTCAAGTCTTTCTTGCAGCTCCTCAATCTCCCTCTCTTTTAGCTCTAGGTTAAGCATCCCCGTGTCTCTTTCTTTTCTAATCTGGTTCAGTGCAACCCGGATTCTTTCGTTCTCTACGCTCAGGTCCTGAATTTCTCTTTCTTTGTCCTCTGTCAGCCATCGCATCCTTTCCTCTAGATCCCCGATATCGTTCCGTCTTTCGCCAACCCTCCTGTCCTCATCCTCCTCTTCTTCTTCCTTTTGAATGTCTGCTTTCCCAGGTGATTTCCCCTTCTTCTTCCTGTCAAAAAACCACCTGATGCTTTTCATCTCCCTGTCTCGCACGTTTTTCAACTCTGCATCCTGACGCTGCATTTTATCTCCCATCTCTTTCAGACGCTGATTGAACTTTTCGTTTCTTTGCCGGCTCAGATCCCTGACCTCCTGAACCAAACCAGAGAAAGCCTCACACCTGTTCATGGCGGCCATCTTTTCCACCTTCTGCAGGAGATCTGCCACCATACCGGAGCCTCCTTTTCCTCCTCCATCTAAGCTACTAATGACGTGGTATCTTCCCCTGCACTTCTCCAGCAGCCACTGGAGTTCCCTGCCTCCTCCTTGGATGTGCTGCTCAATGTCCACCCCTTCTCGAAGCTGATCCCCGTGGGTGAACAACATTATAATATGCCTCCATACGCCCTCACCAAGAAGCTCCAGATGTTCCTTAACATGCCCCGATCTAACCAACGTGTCCACCCTCAGAGTCAACAACAGTGCGTGGGGTCCCGGAGGACACAAGGCCACACTGTTAATGATTTCCCTTTTCACCCTCTCGGGCGTGGCCCCAGCTATTCCTCCCTCCCAGCCTGGAGTGTCTACCACCGTCACCAAGCGCATGGCCACCTCCGCCTGCTGACGGTTGCACTCCTCCGACACCTCTCCTGCCTGGAAGACGTCCATTTTGCCCAGGATGGCGTTCCCAGCAGAGCTCTTCCCTGTTTCCCGCTCGCCCAGGAGAACCATTCTGACCTCGGGTAAACGTCGAGGAGCCTTGGAGAAGGACTGGTGGGCGTCCAGCTCAGAGCCCTGAAGACCGTCGCCTGGAACAAAGATAGGTACAGATTTCTATTATTATTTTGATTATATTATTGGCTTTTACCAAATTCCTCACAGATGAAATTTGTGAAGTTGATGGCAGGTCTAAATGTAACCAAGCCTCTAATAGCAAGAAAAGCCTCCTAACAAGTCAACAGACACACAACAAAGCTAACCGACAAAGATATTCCCTCTTATTTATTTTCTGTAAAATGCGTCCAAATATGCAACAAACTGGCTAAACAGGCAGGTTAGTGATGCAAAATGTGCATCTCCTGGCATATTTTAGGTTTCAACCCATGACCCTGAATCAAATCAGATCTCTCTTCACTCCACTTTTAACTCCATTTTGGTTTCTCTGTTAATTTCTAAAGATAACACCAGGGTTTTTGGCTGCTGAATTATCCACTTTATTTATCATCTAATATCTAATTTAGCCAATCTGTTGTTTAGCAATGTGCAAGTGCATGTTAGCTGCCTGCTGCTTCTTCGAAATGATAATGAGAGCAGCGAGACCGAAAAATTTATGTACAAATATTCAATCAACAGGTTGTTTTCACGTCTTTCTGTGCTTTGTATTTAATTGATCTTGAGTGATATGACATTTTGATTGGACTGAATAACTCACTCATTAGAGCAGCTTTGATGGTCCCTCTCTGCACCTGCTCCTCCATCTGCCTCTGTTTCTTCCTTCTTTCCCTCGCTCTCCTCTTCCCATCTGCCTCAAGTCCCAACAGAACTGTGTTATCCATCTCTAAATGGTTGCTCCCGGCCTTCTTTTCCACCATCACCTCCAGCTTCCTTATCAGCTCTGTAACTTGCGTCCCGTCGCCTTTGCACCGGTTATCCAAAACGTGGTATCTATTTCCGCACTGTTGTAGGAGTCCCTGGAGTGCTTGTCCGCTCATCGGGATTCGTTGCTCCATGGACATCAGGCCTAATTCGTCTCCCCTCGTGAAGAGTAACATCGTATGGTCCCAAACTCTTTTCCCCAGCGGCTCCAGGTGCTCCTCTATCTCTCTGATGTAGTCCTCTGTGACAGAGGCACAGGCTCGCACCACTAGAAGCACAGCATGGGGGCCGGGAGGACAGAGTGACACACTCCGTAAAGTTTCCCTCCTTACCCAGTTGGGGGTGCTGTTGAGAGGGTAGTACCATTCCCATCCTGGAGTGTCCACCACTGTGACTTTCCTCCCCACCACGTCCGCTTTCCTTTTCACACACTCCTCCGTCGGCTTCCCGCTCTCGAATCCTCCGACTCCTCCCAGGACGGTGTTGCCTGCCGAGCTCTTTCCAGTTCCTTTTCGACCCAGCAGGACCAGTTTAAGTTCTGGGAGAGCAGGTGAAGGGATGACCTGGGTGGTTGGAGCCTGTTGTGTGTCCATGGCCACCTGCACACTTTCATCTGTGAAGACGGGGAGAAGAATTTCCTCGGTGCACCGAACTGGAAAATCTAAATGACAAAAGACACAAAAATATAACAAATCATTCACCAAATGCACCTTGCCTTTAGCTGTTAGCTAATGTTAGCATTCAAACACAATTGTGACAACGTTATCGTGTCATGGTTGCAGTCATTGTGGTAGGAGAGGAAATAATGCTTAAACGCTAACATAAGCTGCTGTAGTCTTCAAACCTCCAAATCATGACACTTAAATTTGACCGCAAATCCAGATGTAAAGATCCACAGATCAGCGACCTGCACAGGTCACACAAGGTGGTCACCAAAGGTGCCCTCCTGAGCAACTTGTTTAAGTTAGTTGTCACTGGCGTTTGCCTCACTGAAGTAGGACGCTACAGTGCTACTTCCAGCCTGTCGGTGCCTAAAAGGTTATTAACTGTTTTTCCTCCAAATTTGCTATTGAACAGTTGTCTTTGCAAGGAAGTAATTTGTAACAAATGCTACATTTATTTAGCTCTTGGTACCTAATGAAGCAAGCGGGTTGTTGAAGCATAACATAAGCAATTTCATTTAGTACCTTTTGCTTGACTCTTTGTTTTGTTTTTTTACCTCAGATTTTGCTAGCTAGTAGTAAACTTAGTGAGGAAATGGTTGAAAGTTAACATACGCTTTTGTGACTTAGATGTCAGTACCTTATGGGTTATCTACTGTTTTTTTGTAACTTCAAAATAATGTTAGATAATAGTAATATTATGAAATGATTGAATGCTAATATAAGCTATTGTCACGTATTTGCTGGTACCAAATGGGTTATCTACTTTAACTTGAAGTGGAGAAGCTAACAGCTTAGCAAGGAAGAGGATGAAGGCTAACATTAGCTTTTGTTTCTTAGCTGTCAGCACCTAGTGAGTTATCAAACATTACATTTTCTTTCAAACAGTACATATAATATTAACTTCACTCAGGCCCAGTTCTACGAGGGTGCAAAAGTTAGCATTGCACCCTTTTTACAATAAGTAATCAGGGCTTTCAAATGACAACAGTTACTTGGATTGTGTGCATTACATCCATGTTCTGATGGTCATGATAGGTGCACATGACCTGGTGACCACATGCGGGACCCATAACACTTACACAATTTTTAATTGCTTTTGCCAGTCACTGTAGCTGCACCCCCTTTAATCTTAGATGCACCCTGAGTCATTTTGTTCTAAAACCAGGCCTGGCTTCAATTATCCCTTAAACTAAAGTAGGCTACCTCTTCACAACTTTATTTCAATACAACACTTAAACCAAGAATGAAAGCGCTCTAAAGTCAACCTACCTCTGTCCTCTTCGATGACAGCACTGCAGTTCTCATCAGTCGTGTCCATCACCTCTCAGTCTACTCCTGTCCTTCCTCTTCCTCTTTTTTTGGTTCCTGTAAGTGTTTCACAGGAAGTGGGCTATTTCTTCAGCATGATTGTGAAAGAAGAAAAAAAAAAAACAGAGTCACCCTGGGTGTAAATAGGTCCAAAATGAAAATGTATAAAGCAGTCGAAGAACGCAGACAGTTTTGTCGACATACCCCGTCATGTGACCTGCCTGTGGTTTTTCAAACCTGCTATCATTCATGTGAACAGGAAGTTAAGAGGCGGCACTGTGTTTGTTTTGTTTTTTCTTGCACAGTTACCTTTTTGAAGAACAGATAGCAATACACTTGTGAATGCTGCACACCGTTGCGAGGATTTGTTCATGTATATGCAGATGATCTACATATATATACATGATATACAACATTACTGCATGGAAAGATACACATGCAGGCTTCACATCAAGAGCTGCTGAGCCCTTTACCATGAGACACCGCCTTGTGGTAAATATTTAGCACCTATGTTTCCTGTAATCACAAGCTGTCAAGAACAAGTTAACAGTTAGCAAATAGCAAACTCAGGTTAGTATACGACACATTAAGGCAATCTATAGTTGCAGAAAGTAATGGCTATACATAAGGAAAATCAAATCTCATTAAGTTTACCAGAGCATAAAAATACTCTGTATGTTCCTCCATTTAAAGACCTGTCATCAGGCTTGTGTATCATGCCGTGGTTAGGAGTGTTGATTGTGGCCGTCCTCTGAAAATTAACGCTAATAACCCCTCTTGCAGGAACTCAAAAGTGTTGCTCTTGTATCCGCTGAAAGCTACATTACACTGTCTTATATCCAGCCTATACTTGGAAATGCTGAATAGGAAAGATTAAAGTAAATGGCTACCCATTACTTTTGGCATTCTTGTCTTCTTCTCCCCTGCAGTTTATGTTCCGATGCTAACATTACACTAGATAATTTTACCCCTCTAAGTATAATGGAGTAAAACTGAAATAAGCAGAGGTGCAAACAGAAATAGACCAGCGCACGACAGATGAATTTCTTAGCATCACAGATTTATTTTCTAACAGTCGTCTTATTGTGTGAGGAGCCAGCATCTTTTCATCATGCCTGCCTGCTGTCATGGCAGCCTGGCTGCATACATGGTACAACATGTTCCTGTGTCCAGTTCATACCCATAAACACACACACACATTAGATCATGTCCTTTATGATGAGTCAGCCTTTCCCTCAGCTCCAGTCGGGGTTCATAAAAACAAACCCTGTTTATGGAAAGGACTGAATCAGTCGTATTGATTTGGGGCCATTAACCAGCAGAGTTGTTTTTGAGTGTTGGGTGAATATCACCATGATGGATGCTTTTCAACATGTGTGCTGCTTTTTGTAAATGTCAAATGAGTAACTTTTTGTTGGACTCCCTGCAGCAGCACTTCTCTTTAAAAGTGAGGCTGCCTGGCTTTTAACAGAACTCCATATCATGAATAATAAGAGCATGAAAATTCTTCCATCATCGACGGAGCTCACAGATTAAATGTCACATATAAATCTGCATCGGTACTTGCTGATTGGTTTGGCCCTGAATGTAACTGGTCAGAGGATAAGTGCTAGTGGTGGAAATGGGAAACCCAGAAACTTACAGCACAGTGTTTCCTCTGTAATTTCATGGCTATTATTTAGTTTGCTTCCACATCTGTCGCCAACTTGGATTCAGTTTTAAAAGTAAGGTTGGCTTTGAATAAATTTTCTTTTTTATATATATATAAAAAAAAAACATCTTTCTACTTCAGATGGAAATCAGTTTTTTCAATGTTTTTAAAACGGTTTTTTAAAGGTTGTAGTGCTGAAAAAAGTTGGAAATCCTCTGTCCTGGTAGCAGCATTAAAATAAGAAATAAAAATGACATATTGTGCATGAGCGATGCAGGATGAGCTGGCTCTTGTATGTGTTTGGACCTTTTCTTCTTTAATTACCCTCAAATTCAGTACGAAGGCCAACATGGAAAATAAAAGTACAAGCAACAGTACAAAGATGAATGAGGGGGGTGTGTATTTGCTGGCTGCTAACCATTTGGCTAATTTCCCATTTTATTTTAGAGTAGTAGTGCTCTAACCTTCCAAACAGACCCCCAAGCCGACTGTTCAGATGTAGACTCCAAACAGAGTGGATGAAGAAAGTACCTGGAGCAAAACATGCAATCTTAAAACTGGTGCAGGGACTGACGTCCATAGCTTGGCGGATAATCTGCCAGAAATTTAAGGGGATTTTGAATACTTATGTCTTTTTGGTGATGGAAAAAGCTGATGGTTGTCACGACTGTTAGAGCAGCTGAGAAATCTCCAAGTTCTTCCTCAAGTCCTTTACATAGTTTTAAAGATTTTCCATAGAAAGTAATTTTAAAAGTAGAGAGAAATGTTCCCTTTTTAGGACAGCTCACATTCAAACCCGCAGCTGATAAAGGGAGACGCCACCACAGCAATGGTGGCTTTGTCAACTTTCACCGCATTTGTCCATAGTGCATAACTGAATTGGATTATATACTTAAAAATGTCTCCCCTAAGTAGTAAACATGACAGGAATTTAGACCTCTATGTCAACATGTTTAATTTTGCTTTAATGTTGGGCATATTATGTGACCTAATGGGGGTCATCTCACTTTTGGAGCCAGCCCAATAGTGGCCACACAAGGAACTGCAGTTTGGGAACTTGTTCATTGTTGTCATTTCTCGACCTCAATGGACGCAGCTTGATTCACTCCTTTTTCAACACCCCCCTAACCCCTTGCCAACATCCCACCCCCTTGTTTCCTATCCCTCTTCCTGCATTTTATCCCATCTCTCCCCCTATTCCTTTCCAAGCCCGGCGCAGTCTAGGCCTGTGAAGGCTGTTTCATCATGAGCTGGGGATCCGGCCGAAGATTTCTGCCTTTTAATAAGGCAGTTTTTTCTTACCACTATAACTTTTGCTGCTTTGCTAAAGTGCTCATGGTGGATAGGACAGGTCTTTATAATATAGCAATGAGTAAGGTCTTTTTACCTGCTCTTTTGTAAAGTGTCTCGAGATAACACTTGTTATGAGTTGACGCTGTACAAATAAAAGTTGATTGATTTTGTGTGGGTTAAGCATGAGTGTTTTCATATACTTGGTGATTGCAGAATAATACTGGTAAAAGTAATGTTGACAGTGACAAAGCATCTAAAATGAAGAGAGGTAGACTGAGTAGTTTAACACCTACAGCCAGATTGCAGCTCATTTTGACTCACTGTGGGCACATTTGGTTGTTTTCTGGCAACAAGAAACCCAAGTGTGAGCCAACAACCCCCAAATCTAGCCATTTGGCAAGTTTCTATAAAAGTACCCTGTGGGGGTGCCATTAGAGGTGCCATGGAGTTATAGAGTAATGTTTCCATGAGTGGGCCATTCAAGCTCAGCCAATTTTGGCTGCGAATTAGCTCCATGCAGGCTTGCTTTGGTGCTGTCGTTCATCACAATCTGGGCATGGATCCAATAAACAAGTGCTTATTAGTATAACTCTTAACGGTAAATAACTAGCCAGGAATTACCAACGTGGAGCTTTGGTGAAGCTGTTTCAACATTCAGCGTGGTTTCACTGACAAAACATGATCTTAATTTAGAGACAGAGGCCAAACCCCCAAAATCCCACCTGTGTAAAAATAAGAGATAAAACAAACACAAAACCATACCACCATTAAAAGTAAGTTATTTCCTCTTACACTTACCACACCTGTGAATGTTGGCCAACCCAAAATTTGCAAATAGCAACACTAACATCAAGATAAAATTACGTTAGTGGTGGCTGATGGCCGAAGGCCGACCAGGGGGAAGAAATCAGTACACTACCTGTGTGCAGTTTAATTCCTGCAGAAAGTCATGATGCGCTCATTTGGAAAACATTCCCTAACCCTCTGCTAATGTTTGAAGTATCAAATCATATCAAGTTTGAGCATGGACATGTTTATTTCTTATAACCACAAGTGACTATTTTCTGATCAGACACTCACTGCTACGTCTCCATCCTGGTTTGAAGGAATCATGGTAGCAACTTGTCATCGCCTCTCACCAAGCCCTAAAAACACACCCTACACTATCATCTGTGTCACTCTAATTTGGAGTTGTGATTAATTTATGAAGCTATGCTCTCATGTTGGATGTAAGAGCATTAGGAAAAATGTTAACTGCATCATTAATCAGCTGAGACATAGAGGTTCATTTCTTTGTAGACTTCTACACAAACAGGCTCATTTTTTGTAACCAGTGGAGTCTCCCCCTGCTGGTCATTAGAAAGAATGCACATTTAAGGCTCTTCAACTTCACTTTTAAAAACCAAGAGGCTATATGTCCATTCCTCAAAGTCTGTTATATAGCACTACATCACTTTTTTTCCCTGTAGGCTGATGATCATTTTGTAAGTTTTGCAGGACATGTACACATGTACTCGATACAGGATCATGACTGTCTGTGTAAAGTGAGATAAACCAAAAAGCTAGAAAGAAACATAAAAAGATGTATTTCCTTTTAACCTGCATGTACTGTAAATTAAAGCGTGCCCCGTCTGACAGCTTCCAAAGTTTGTCACTCCATCTGAATGAAGCTCCATCCAGCTGTGGTTGTACAGAGACGGTAGATTCCTCATCCAGATCCTAAGACTGACCACTTACACAACACTTTCACCCTGCAAGATTCTGACACACACTCATGCACACACACACACACACACACACACACACACACACACACATGGTAGCTCTTTCTCTGCCCTGTTGGGTATATAAGCAGAAGCAGAAGTCCTTCAAGACGGAGCAGCAGCAGCAGCAGCAGCAGATTGACTCCGAGCAACAGCAGCGTCTCCACCTTCTTCTCAGGTACATCCACTCTGCATTTAAGCTCACTCTCTTTCTTTCTCATAGATTCAAAGTTAGCATTCTTATTAACAGCTCTACTGTGGCGCAATAGTTCTTTCTCACTGTAACTCCTCTGCAGCTTCATAACTTTGATTATTTCTTCCAGATGTGAAGTTGCAAATAAACGATACATCTGACAGTAATTTAACAAGATCTGCTGTTGTTGTGCAATCTTAAGACAACATTTTGTTGAAACAACTCTGAGTGACTCTAACTATCTATTTTATACAGTATGTGATTATTTCACTTTTAATGCAATTATTATGTTTCTTTATTGATTTACATTTGTTGGTCTGACTTTGTAACATTTCTACCTGTAGCACTATAGAAACAGTGACAGAGGAGTTTATATTCAAAGGTTTATTACCTGAATTATATATTTAGCTTAATGACAAAAGTCTAAGTCGATTAAAGTCGGTTTCCCTCTGTATAGGCTATATGTAAAAACTTCACAAATGCATATTTCTGTCTCAGTAAGGATATTAAACATGCAATACTTAGTCCAGAGTTAGATTTCTGTATTTAAAAAGTGAAAAAAAAGGTTATTCCTTGAATAGTTAAAACAAAATATTTGATGCTGTAGAAATGTAGGTTTGAAAACAGGCTCTGCTTTGTGTTTTTCTGGTAGAAGTCTTTGCAGGAGTTTTATGCTGTGCCCGTCCCTCCCACTCCGGCTCACTTCTGCTTGGCTTCTCACGTGTCAGCATTTCCCAAACTTGTGTTAAAAATGTGTGAGCATACATCACCAGTGTCTCACACGAGGAAAAGTGTATACTGCATCCCAGAATGCACCAGTGCACTACATTATCTTAAACTACAATAACTAGTACTCATATCAATCTCAAACTTTTAGCTGCTGCTTCATGACAGATGAACACACGTTACATCTTATCCTTAATCATTAAAAAGCTCTTCTCATCTAGAACCGTTAAATTTAAGGTCCAACAAGAAGTCCTTTGTTACTTTACTGAGGTAGAATATGAATGTACAGTTTTAATAGTAAAATATCTGCACTCCAGTCCGACTGAGCATCAGTCAAACTGTAAAAAATACACATTTAAATTAACTTGAGGAAAAGGAAGAGAAACACTCACACTGCACAAGATTAGCTTATTTAATAGCATTTTATATGATTATAGACGTGGGGAAGATAGTTTTAACTTAGCATTAGTCCAATTCAGATAGATCTCGGAATAATTAATCAGGGAGAAAAAAAGATCTGCTGTATCAAATTTAACGTTCATATTTTAGATCAATCAACAGAACCTTTTGAAATGCGTCTCAAACTAACACAGTTGCAAACCCAATGAAAAATGTCGATTTTCAATGTGAAATCGTTGATCTGAAAAGTAGACTTGTTGTTAAACTGATTCCAGTACCGGCTTCTCATACCGTCTAAAATGTGGTATGTTGGGTGTCACGAAGTAAGCCAGAAAGTCAAAGCACTAATCAGACACCGTAACCAATAAGCCTCCCAAAACAATCCGGTTTCACTTAAATTATCGTGTAAAATAAAAAACAACAACATCTGTCTTTTGTCAGCCGGGGGTAATCTTAGTCGAAGCTAACAATGTCAGTAAGCTCTGTTGTTAGCTGGAAACTATTTTCTCTAAATTTTGGTGATTTTCATGATTTAAGATCAGCAGGGGAAGCACTGTAACAAATATCCACCTCATGAGGTTGTCATTGTCTGTAACGATGTCTCTGTAGTGTTTCAGTATTATCATTCTGTGTTAAGTTTAGGCACTTTTTAAAAAAATTAATGGCCAGAGTGGATGCACCAAATATCTGGGATGTCCTGAAAATGATTTCATCTTCAAGGCTCATTTAGGTTTCCTTTACGTATGAATTAACTTGTATTTTCTGGGCTTGAATTAAAGGGGAAGTTACTATTTATAACACTCAGGTTGGACTCGATAAGTAAAATAATCCGCCTATTGGAACTTGTGTACAGTAAAGTATCTAGTAACTTTCTGTAGTATAGATACAGTGGAGTAAAGTAAGCATAGGCTTCAGTATTTCCTCCTGACAGGTGGTGGAGAAGTTGTTATTATTCTTCCCCCCCGCTGTACTGCCGTCTGTGAGTCTGCACACGGGTCAATTTGCAGAAGGTGAGCGCGTCCCTCTGAAGGTAGAACAGAGCTTTCTCTGTTTTTAAATGATGACTCATGAAGCAAAACGTCGCCTCGCTCTTCTCTCCTGAAACGACACACGCCCACATTATGTAACAGTGAAACTTATTCTCAGCCAGGTCTTTGTACCAAAGGCTTGACTGTGCTGCTGCTGCTGCTGCTGCTATAGCATCCTGTCAAAACAGCATTTGTGTATTTAAAGGTTAAATCAGACTTACCTCATACTGACATCATCTTCAGAACCAGCTCCTGATGGAGGCAGGTTTTTGGTTAGACCCCCATGTGATCTGAGCGGGTGATGTCATTTAAATCTGTCTCATGATGTTTTTAATGACTTCAGTGATTCATTCTGAGCACAGTGAGCGTCTTTGTTGACTTCACACCTATGACCAAGTTTACACCTCTACAACATTTTCAAGATATTTTGAATAAATTGGTTCACCATGAATGGAAATAAGTTGTTGGAGCCAACTCTAAATATCAGTACACAACACGTACCATAATCAAGATCAGGGCTATTTCTACAATATGGTTTTATTACATTATCACTCTTAGGGCTGCACAAATGATTATTTTCATCATCAATCATTTTTCTTCTCAACTTGTTGATCAATTGATTGATGACAGAAAATGTCAGTTTCCTTCAGACATCCTAAGTCCAAAATAAAATGAATCCATAAAGAGACCAACACATTGAAAATATTGGCTTTAAACCTTAACATTTTGTCCATAACCAGTAAAAAAAAAAAAAAAAGGACGATATGTCTCCTGCAGAAGTAACTTTTGTTACTGATGGTGATTTGACTTTTCTTCCTCTACTGCAAATATTCCCATCAGAACTCCTTACTCGTCCCATTTTTAAAAGCAACATTACCAATGTTTCAGTTTGAATGCATTCAATATAAGTTTGAAGTCCGAGGCTTGAAGTTCATTTCGGACATGTAAAATTAAAAAAAAATTAAAAAAGAGAGAAGAAAAGAAAACTTAAAAAAGTAATGTGTACAAACAATGAACGACATCGTACAAAAGAAGCTCTCAAATACTTTCTATTTCTGTTTACAAGTCCGAAAAGGTCCCGTGAGACACTGGTAACACATAATAAGGTAGTACTTGAAATGGACATTGAAATTAAAAAAAGATGATCTGATGTCACATTTTCAAAGCTGGATTGTTTTTTTTCATGACTTTTAAAATAAAATGTTTTCACTACAATTTATAACTGAGAGACTCGCTGTGGTTTCCCTCACAAACCAGCGACTGAATTATACTGAAGTTGAAACTCCATTACATACTCTTTAAACGGCCCTTTATGTTTCATGTTGTGTGTGTGTGTGTGTGTGTGTGTGTGTCTCTCTCTCTCTTTCTCTCTCTCACTCTCTTTCTCACTCTCTTTGACCACAAAAACAAACACAATATTTTTAAAATGAAAATAAATCATCAAACTCTATAAGTATCTTCCTTTACCAGCAACTTACAGGAAGAGGAGTGACTGTAAACTACACACACACACACACACACACACACACACACACACACACACACACACAAACCACTTCCATGTGTGTTTCAACACTAACCAGCCACTTATTATTTTCTCTTGCTTTGCTTTAACGGCTTTTCCAATTCAACCATCTTTTCTTCCTTAATAAAAGGGACAAGGACTCGCAATCACACACACACACACACACACACACACACACACACACACACACACACACACACACACACACACATCCTGGGGTGTCTCTGTTTTTTAAGCAGATGTCGAGCAGATGAGTTTAGAATCAGCTCTCCCACTATGCAGGAATTAACCAAGCATGACGCGAATGCAGCTTTCACTAATCGTACAAAAAAACACTTATTAAGTATGACGTTCACTGTAAAAAAATCATAAAGAGTGACTAGTATTTGTTTTCCATCATCTCTCCTCTTGCGGTCCAGTGTCGGATCACTTGTCCTGAGCGATCACCACCATGTCCAGTCAAGGAGCCACTGTGACCCCCTCCTCTGCCCCCCCTACTCCCTCCGGACCCCCTCCCAAAGTGACCAACCGCGGACGCTCTACAGATCCCATCGCCAGCTCCAACTTTGACTCAACAAACATTCCTGAATTTGAGCCCTTTGGTTTGCCAGGACCGAGAGGATTTCCACCTCTGACTGGTGAGCACACTGTCAACAAATCACACACACACAAAAAAAAGTATTTAAATTTGAATATGTGGAAAGTTTTCTTAACTTATTTCTAATGATGTAAAATGTGGGAATGATATGGTTTAAGGTACAGGTTGTACATAATATAGCCATTTGTT